AGCAACCCCCCCGGGGGGTACTACGTCCTGTGGTAGTTGGGTTGGAGACGGGAACCACCCAGAAGTCTACCTCATGTGGTATAGGTTGGTGACAGCAACCACCCGGGAGGTACTACCGTCCTCGGGATAGGTTGGAAACACAACCGCCCGGGGGGAACTATCGCCCTTGTGGTATACTTTGGGTAGGCAAAAACCCCCACCCAGGAGGTACACCCCCCTGTGGTATAGTTGGTAGCACAACCACCCGGGGGAGGACTACCGCCTGTGGTACGGGTTTGGCAGACAGAACCGCCCCTGGGGGGACTACCGCTTGTGAAGTATTTTTGGTAGACAGCAACCACCCGGGAAGGTTTTCCTCCGTGGTAGTAGGTGGTAGCAGAGTCGCCCAGAGGGGGTACTCCCGTCCTTGTAGATTTTTGTAGACAGCAACCACCCAGGAGGTAATCCTCCGTGGTAGCAGGTTGGTAACAGCAACCCCCCTGGGGGGTACTCCCGTCTTTTTTTGGGTAAAATGTTGGTAGACAGAGCCGCCCAGGGAGGTACTACGGTCCGTGGTAGTAGGTGGAACAGCAACCACCCAGGGAGGTACAACCGTCCGTGGTAGTAGGTTGGTAGACAGAAACCCAAACCCAGGGGCTAAACCGCCCTGGGGTATAGGTTGCAACAGCAACCCCCGGGGAGGTACCCCGTCCTGGGGTATAGTTGGTAACAGCACCCCCAAAGAGTACACCGTACTGTGGTATTGGGTTTTGGAGGAGCAGCCCCCCCGGGGGGTACACCCGCCGTGGAGTAGTTGGTAGACACAACCACCCAGGGGAGGAAACTAGCGTCCTGGGGTAGTGGGTTTATAGAGAGCAACCACCCGGGGAGGTGCAAACCGTCATGGGTAGTAGGTTGGTAACAGCAAACCGCCCAGGAGGACTACCTCCTGTGGTATAGGTTGGTAGACAGCAACCCCCAGGGGACACTATCGTCTTGTTTTAACTTTGGTAGGCAAAACCACCCGGGGAGTACACCGTCCTGGGGTAGTAGTTGGTAACAGCAACCCCCCAAAGGGGGTACTACCGCCTGTGGACATTTTTTTGGTTTAGACAGCAACCCCCCAGGGGGGATTACCGTCCTGGGTATAGGGGGGTAACGCAGCCGCCCAAGAGTACACACCGTGGTAGTAGTTGTAACAAAACCACCCAGGGAGGTATACCGTCATGGTAAAGGGTTATAGACACAACCGCCCACTTAGGTACTACCGCCCCCTGTGGTAGGGGTTGGTAGACAGCAACCCCCCCAGGGGGTTTTACCGCCTGTGGTAGCAGGTTGGTAGACAGCAACCGCCCAGGGAGGTAATACCGTACTGTGGTAGCAGGTTGGTAGACAGCAACCGCCCTGGGTGGTACTACCGTCGTGTGGTAGTAGGTTGGTAGACAGCAACCGCCCAGGGAGGTACTACGGTCCTGTGGTAGTAGTTGGTAGACAGCAACCACCCAGGGAGGTATTACCGTCCTGTGGTAGTAGGTTGGTAGACAGCAACCACCCAAGGAGGTAATACCGCCCTGTGGTAGTAGCTTGGTAGACAGAAACCGCCCAGGGAGGTACTACCGTCCGGTGGTAGTAGGTTGGTAGACAGCAGCCGCCCAGGGAGGTACTACCGTCCTGTGGTAGTAGTTTTGGTAGGACAGCAACCACCCATTGAGGTACTACCTTTCCTGTGGTGTAGGTTGGAAAGACAACAACCGCCCAGGGAGGTACTACCGTCATGTGGTTAGGGGTAGGTTGGTAGACAGCACCACCCAGGAGGTACTACCGTCCTGTGGTAGCGGGTTGGTAGACAGCAACCACCCAGGGGGGGTATACCGTCCTGTGGTAGCAGGTTGGTAGACACCAACCGCCCAGGGAGGTACTACCGTCCTGTGGTAGAAGGTTGGTAGACAGCAACCACCCAGGGAGGTACTACCGTCCTGTGGTAGTAGGTTGGTAGACAGCAACCGCCCAGGGAGGTACTACTGTCCTGTGGTAGTAGGTTGGTAGACAGCAACCACCCAGGGAGGTACTACCGTCATGTGGTTGTAGGTTGGTAACAGCAACCACCCCAGGGAGTACTAACCGTTCTGTGGTAGTACGTTGGTAGACAGAAACCACCCAGGGAGGTACTACCGTCCTGTGGTAGTAGGTTGGTAGACAGCAACCACCCAGGGAGGTACTACCATCCTGTGGTAGCAGGTTGGTAGACAGCAACCACCCAGGGACGTACTACCGTCACGTGGTAGTAGGTTGGTAGACAGCAACCGCCCAGGGAGGTACTACCGTCCTGTGGTAGTAGGTTGGTAGACAGCAACCGCCCAGGGAGGTACTACCGTCCTGTGGTAGTACGTTGGTAGACAGAAACCACCCAGGGAGGTACTACCGTCCTGTGGTAGTAGGTTGGTAGACAGCAACCACTCAGGGAGATACTACCGTCCTGTGGTAGTAGGTTGGTAGACAGCAACCGCCCAGGGAGATACTACAGTCCTATGGTAGTAGGTTGGTAGACAGCAACCACCCAGGGAGGTACTATCATCCTGTGGTAGTAGGTTGGTAGACAGCAACCACCCAGGGAGGTACTACCGTCATGTGGTAGTAGGTTGGTAGACAGCAACCGCCCAGGGAGGTACTACCGTCCTGTGGTAGTAGGTTGGTAGACAGCAACCGCCCTTGGAGGTACTATCGTCTTGTGGTAGTAAGCTGGAAGGCAGAAACCACCCAGGGAGGTACTACCGTCCTGTGGTAGTAGGTTGGTAGACAGCAACCACCCAGGGAGGTACTACCGTCCTGTGGTAGCAGGTTGGTAGACAGCAACCGCCCAGGGAGGTATTACCGTCCTGTGGAAGTAAGTTGGTAGACAGCATCCGCCTAGAGAGGTACTACCGTCCTGTGGTAGTAGGTTGGTAGACAGCAACCACCCAGGGAGGTACTACCGTCATGCGGTAGAAGGTTGGTAGACAGCAACTGCCCAGTTAGGTACTACCGTCCTGTGGTAGTAGGTTGGTAGACAGCAACCGCCCAGGGAGGTACTACTTTCCTGTGGTAGTACGTTGGTAGACAGCAACCACCCAGGGAGGTACTATCGTCCTGTGGTAGTTGGTTTGTAGACAGGAACAACCCAGAGAGGTACTACCGTCATGTGGTAGTAGGTTGGTAGACAGCAACCACCCAGGGAGGTACTACCGTCCTGTGGTAGTAGGTTGGTAGACAGCAACCGCCCAGGGAGGTACTATCGTCTTGTGGTAGTACGTTGGTAGGCAGAAACCACCCAGGGAGGTACTACCGTCCTGTGGTAGTAGGTTGGTAGACAGCAACCACCCAGGGAGGTACTACCGTCCTGTGGTAGCAGGTTGGCAGACAGCAACCGCCCTGGGAGGTACTACCGTCTTGTGATAGTAGTTTGGTAGACAGCAACCACCCAGGAAGGTATTTC